TGGCGCGCGCCTGTAGTCCCCAGCTACTTGGGAGGCTGAGGCAGGAGAAGGGCGTAAATCTTGGGAAGTGGAGCTTGCAGTGAGCTGAGATTCGGCCACTGCACCCCAGCCTGGGCGACAGAGCCAGACTCCGTCTCAAAAAATAATAAAAAATAAAATAAAATAAAAGAATCATTTAATAATAATGGGTAGAAAAAGAATGACTCCATCCTCTCTAATGAAATAAGTTGTGCTGGTTATGTACAGCAAACTTATAATCATTTTTACCCAAAATGCTTGCTTCATCAGAGTCCCTGTTTTAAAAAAAAAAAAAAAAAAAAGGCTCTGTGGGGTCAAAGTGCTGAGAATGATTTAAAGAATTCCCGCAGTTAGATATTTATATTGATAAATAATTTGAAGTCAATGATGGAATAAAAGCTAACTCTATCACTGATATCTATATCAGCTTTTCCATTCTATATTCCAAAGACATTGAAGTGCAGAGTCTTGCTGGGCTGTCTCACACCTGCAATCCCAGCAATTTGGGAGGCTCAGGTGGGAAGACCACTTGAGCCCAGGAGTTCGAGCGCTGCGTGTAAACTAAATTGTGCCATTGCCACTCCAGACTAGGCCCCAGAGTGACCCCCCTCTCTCTTAAAACAAAAGTTTGGTGTCAGAGACCATATGACTCACTAGTGTAGCTTCAAATGCATTACAAATCAGACACAAAATATCTCCCCTAGTTTGCCTCCTTTTCCAGAATTTACCAGATACCAATGAACATTAATGTATGACTTTTTTTTTTTTTTTTTGAGAGGAAGTTTCGCTCTGTCGCCCAGGCTGGAGTGCAGTGGCATGATCTCAGCTCACTGCAAGATCTGCCTCCCAAGGTCATGCCATTCTCCTGCCTCAGCCTCCTGAGTAGCTGGGATGACAGGTGCCCGCCACCAGGTCTGGCTAATTTTTTTGTATTTTTAGCAGAGATGGGGTTTCACCGTGTTAGCCAGGATGGTCTCAATCTGCTGACCTCGTGATCTGCCCTCCTAGGCCTCCCAAAGTGCTGGGATTACAGGCGTGAGCCACTGCAACTGTTGATGTATGACTTTCATATACAGTTTCTCTAATATGGTCCAGAAAGAGCTAAATGTGCATCCAGATGTGGGCCCTGAACAATCCCTGCTAACCAACATCACTGACAGCACGGGGTCAACAGCCCATCTCCATCGACGTCTGGTGTGAGCCCTTCCCAGGGCCACGCCTAGTAGAGCCTCTTCCCAAGCTCATGTCACTAGTTTATAGGAGATAGAATTTAAGTGAAGATGAGACGAACAGAGAAAAGGCATGGGTGAGTGCGAGCAAACCTGTGAGGTAGAACGCTTCACACTCAGAGAAGATTGGCTACTACAATACCTGGCACTTCAGAAAGCAGAGAGAAGAATCCACCGAGGAATATCACTCACCTGAGGAACAGCCATCCCTGGATCCTTTTCTTTGCTCTTCTTGGTGGCTTCCTCATGTAACATGAGTCTTTGGAAATCCTGTATGTGAAAAAAAATAAGAGATTTAATATTTAGAAACCATTCATTCCTTTCCTGTGACAAAACACACACACGGGGGAGACCTCACCTGAGAGAAAGATGGTCCTCTGCTGCCCACTGCACCAGAGGTCATGCAGAGATAAGAAAGTTCCACAGGAAGACCTACAAGGGTAATTTTGACCTTTCAGATCTTGCTCCCCTCCTGGAAAAGTCCACACACACACGCTGAAGCAGGGCACAGATCTTCAGGCCACAGATCTGCCCTAACCAAACCCCATGCAGAGCACAGTCCCCTCACCTCCCTGTGGATCACAGGCTGATCTCAGCTCTCAACATGGAGGAAACTGCCTTGATGTTTAATGCTGGACACAGATGAGGACCACCAGCGCCATTGTAAGTATTATTGAGTGTGGGTCCCATCCTATGATAATAGCAATCTTTGATAAAACGAAATGCCAGTAATCCTAGCACTTTGAGAGGCCGATGCAGCTGGATCCCTTGAGCCCTGGGGTTGGAGACCAGCCTGAGCAACATGGTGAAAACCCATCTCTACCAAGAACACAAAAATCAGCGTGGTGCGGTGGTGCGCGGCTGTGGTCCCAGCTACTCTGGAGGCTGAGGTAGGAAGGAGACCACCACTTCTCCTGCTGCCCTCCTCCCTCCCCCTTGCCTGGTTCATAAGACAGGAGGAAATGAAGAAAGCAAAAAGTCAGAAAGAAACAGAAGTAAGATAAATAGCCAGACAACCTTGGCGCCACCACCCAGCTCCAGTGGTTAAAAATAATAACAATAAGGCCGGGTGTGGTGGCTCAAGCCTGTAATCCCAGCACTTTGGGAGGCTGAGATGGGCGGATCACGAGGTCAGGAGTTCGAGACCATCCTGGCTAACACGGTGAAAACCCGTCTCTACTAAAAAATACAAAAAGCTAGCTGGGCGAGGTGGCAGGCGCCTGTAGTCCCAGCTACTCAGGAGGCTGAGGCAGGAGAATGGCGTAAACCCGGGAGGCGGAGCTTGCAGTGAGCTGAGATCTGGCCACCGCACTCCAGCCCAGGCGACAGGCAAGACTCCGTCTCAAAAAAAAAAAAAAAAATAATAATAATAATATCAACCCCTGACCTAAACTACTTATGTTACTTGTAAACTCTAGACATTGTATGAAGAAGCACTGCAAAACTTTCTGTTCTGTTAGCTGATGCATGTAGACCCCAGTCACGTTCCCCACGCTTGCTACATCTATCACGACCCTTTCATGTGGACCCCTTAGAATTGTAAGCCCCTAAAAGGGCCAGGAATTCCTTTTTTGGGGAGGTCGGTTCTTGAGACGCGAGTCCACCAATGCTATGGGCCAAATAAAGCCACTTTCTTCTTCAACCCATCGTCTGAGAGGTATTGTCTGTGGTTCATCATGCCACATTTATTGCTTCCCTGACTGGGAAGCGAGGTGATTAACAGAAGGTCAAGGCAGCCCCTTAGGCGGCTTAGGCCTGCCCTGTGGAGCATCCCTGTGGGGTACTCCAGCCAGCTTCAGCAACATGGACTCTGAGAGCACTCCCGGGTAGGCATGTGCCCCAGAAAGATACCTAGCCTGGCCGTCCGAACTTGCAGCGCAACCAGTGTGCTTATTGTAAAGCAATAGGATATAAGAAGGATATTAGAAGGACAAGTGCCCTCAGATAAAAGGAAAACAAGGTGGCTCAGAGCAGGAGGCCCCAGAAGGAGGCCTGTGCAATATAGCAGAAGAGTTACTGAACTGAGGAGGACCGGGTTCAAGTGTCCCCAAAGAGCCCATGGTCACGATGACAGTTAGGGGCAAAGACATTGATTTTCTTATCAATACTACTGCTGAACATTCAGTAGTAACCACCTCGGTTGCCCCCTTATCCAAAAAGACTATTGATATAATCAGAGCAAAGCAAGCTTTCTGCTTGCCCCATAATTATACTGTAGGAGGACAAAAAGTGATTCACCAGTTCTTGTACATGCCTGACTACTCCTTGCCCTTGCTAGGAAAGGACTTGCTTAGCAAGCTGAGCGCCACCATCTCTTCTACAGAGCACAGCTCTTTACAGCTGAGGTTACCCGGAATGGGAGTCATTATGGCCCTGGGAGGAGGAATGGAGACTTTTCTTAACTGACCCAGGCCAAGAGATAAGACCAACTCTGGCTAAGCAGTGGCCAAGGGTGTAGACAGAAGACAACCCTCCAGGGTTGGCAGTTAACCAATCCCCTGTACTTATAAAAGTTCAGTGTAGGGCCAAGCCTTTCAGGCAAAAACAGTACCCGGTCCCCAGAGAAGCTCTTGAAAGTATCCAGGTCCATCTCAAGAGCCTGAAAGCCTTTAGAATTATAGTCCCTTGTCAGTCTCCATGGAACCCTCCCCTCCTGCCTGTTCCCAAGCCAGGGACCAAGGACTACAGGACGGCACAGGACTTGCACTTAGTCAATCAAGCTACAGTGACTTTACATCCAACAGTACCTAACCCGTACGCGTTGTTAAGGTTGCTGCCAGCTGAGGACAGCTGGTTCTCCCGCTTAGGCCTGAAAGATGCTTTCTTTAGCATTAGACTAGCCCCTGAGAGCCAGAAGCTCTTTGCCTTTCAGTAGGAAGATCTAGGGTCAGGTGTCACCACTCGGACCCAGCTTCTGCAAGGGTTCAAGAACTCCCCCACCATCTTTGGGGAAGCACTGGCTCAGGACCTCCAGAAGTTTCCCACCAGAGGCCTAAGCTGCGTGCTGCTCCAGTACATTGACGACATTCTGCTCGGACACCCCATGGCAGTCAGGTGCACCGAGGGGACGGATGCCCTACTCCAGCCCCTGGAGGACTGTAGGTATAAGGTGTCCAAGAAGCAAGCCTAGATCTGCTAACAGCAGGTATGTTACCTAGGATTTACTATCCAACAGCGGGAGCGCAGCCTGGGATCAGAAAGAAAGCGGGTCTTTTGCAACCTACTGAACCCTAAAACCAGAAAACAGGTGAAAGAATTCTTAGGAGCTCTGAGGTTCTGCAGACCGTGGATCACAAACTTTGCAGTACTTGCCAAGCCTCTGTACGGAGTCACAAATGGGTAGGACCAGGAGCCTTCTGAATGGGGATCCCAACAACAGCAGGCCTTTCATGAGTTAAAAGAAAATCTTACATCGGCCCCAGCCCTGGGGTTACCTGATCTGACAAAGCCTTTTACACCATATGTTTCCGAGAGAGAAAAGATGGCAGGTAAAGTTTTGACCCAAACTGTGGGGCCCTGGCTGAGGCCAGTGGCCTAACTCTCTAAATAACTAGATGGGGTTTCCAAAGGTTAGTGTTGGGGTCCGCATGTTTCCTAAACAAAGGAATGAACATACAAGACAACACAGGACAAGACATACATGGCGGCCACCCTGAACGGCACACTCTGCTTTATTTTATACAGCCATTTGTGGAATGTAGCCAAGTCACCGGGCATGTGTTGCTTCTCTGACCTTTCCTTGACTCGCAAGATCAGTAAACATTGACCAGTTCCCAGAGCCCGCTGTTTATAGCTGGCTCCTTTGTCCTTCCTTTTTGCAGAGAAGGAATATCCTGCTTTGTTTGCAAGAGCAGTGCTTATCGGGAACATCTCATTTGTGAGCACGCAGTCCTCTACAGTTAGTCCCCCTGTTTGAGGGCCTTGGCAGCAACTGCCCTGCTAGTACAAGAAGCACAAAAACTAACTCTTAGGCAAAACCTGAACATAAAGGCCCCCCATGCTGTGGTGACTTTAATGACTACCAAAGGACATCATTGGCTAACGAATGCTAGACTAACCAAGTACCAAAGCTTGCTCTGTGAAAATCTCTGCATAACCACTGAAGTTTGTAACACCCTGAACCCCTCACCTTGCTCCCGGTATCAGAGAGCCCTGTCGAGCATAACTGTGTAGAGGTGTTGGACTCAGTTTACTCTAGCAGGCCTGACCTCCGGGACCAGCCTTGGGCATCAGTAGACTGGGAGCCATACATGGACAGGAGCAGCTTCGTCAACCCACAAGGAGACAGATGTGCAGGATATGCGGTGGTAACCCTGGACACTGCGGTTGACGCCAGAGCGTTGCCCCAGGGCACTTCAGAAAGCCGAGCTCTTTGCTTTAATTCAGGCCTTAGAATTCAGTGGAGGTAAGACTGGAAACATTTACACTGACTCTCACTATGCCTTTTTAACCCTCCAAGTGCATGGAGCATTATACAAAGAAAAGGGCCTGTTGAAATCTGGAGAAAAAGACATAAAATCTTGCAATTATTAGAAGCAGTACAGAAACCCCACAAGGTGGCAGTCTCCACCTCGGTTACCTTAGGGAACCCCAGAACTGACTCAGAAGCTCGAAAAGCTGGGCATCAGTCACAGCTCCCCTGCTCCCTCAAACACCTGACCTTGTATCTACTTATTCTAAATAAGAAAAAGGCTTTCTCCAGGCAGAGGGAGGACAGGTGATGGAAGAAGGAAGGATCTGGTTACCAAATAGGAGAGTAGCTGTGCCACAGCTGCTAGGAGCCACAGTTGTACTGGGGGTGCATGAAACCACCCATCTAGGTCAGGAGTCACTTGAAAAGTTGTTAGGCTGATACTTCTACATCTGGCATTTGTCAGCCCTTGCCAAAACCATGGCGCAGTGGTGTGTTATCTGCTGACAGCACAATGCGAGGCAGGGTTCAGCCGTTCCGCCGGCATGGAATGGAAAGCAGCCCCCTTTGAAGATCTCCAGGTGGACTTCCCAGAAATGCCAAACTGTAGAAGTAACAAGTATTTACTCGTTCCCGTTTGTACCTACTCTAGGTAGGTGGAGGCTTATCCCATATGAACTGAGAAAGCTCATGAAGTAACCCGTGTGCTTCTTCGAGATCTTATTCCTGGATTTGGACTGCCCTTACGGATCAGCTCAGATAACAGGCCGGCGTTTGTGGCTGACTCAGTACAGAAGACGGCAAAGGTATTAAAGATCACATGGAAACTACGTGCTGCCTACCAACCTCAGAGTTCCAGAAAGGTGAAGCGGATGAACGGGACTATCAAAATAGCTTAAGGAAAGTGTGTCAGGAAACAGGATTAAAATAGATACAGGTTCTCCCTACGGTATTGTTAAAGACTAGATGTACTCCCTCCCTCTGAGAGAAGAGGATATTCCCCTTATGAAATATTATATCATAGACCCCCTCCCATACTACAGGCACTCCCGGGCACTCCCCCAGAGTTAGGTGAAATTGAGTTACAGAGACAGCTACAGGCCTTAGGAAAAATTACACAAACGATTTCAGCCTAGGTAAATGACAGACGCCCCGTTAGCTTATTCTCCCCAGTTCACTGTTTTTCCCCAGGTGATCGAGTGTGGATCAAGGACTGGAATGTAGCCCCTTTGCGCCCACAGTGGAAAGGACCTCAGACCGTCATCCTGACCACACCCACCGCCGTGAAGGTAGAAGGAATCCCAGCCTGGATCCACCACTGCTGTGTAAAACCTGCATCTGAAACCTGGGAGGCAAGACCAAGCCCAGATAACCCCTGAAAGTGACCCTGAAGACGACGACAAGCCCTGCTCCAGTCACACCCGGAAGCTGACCGGTCTACACACGGCCGGAGCATGAGGAGGCTCATCACAGGACTCATTTGTCTTAAATTTTAGACTTGTACAGTAAAGGCTTCAACTGACCTTCCTCAAACTAAGGACTGTTCCCAGTGTATTCATCAGGTCACTGAGCTAGGACAGCAAATTAAAACAATCTTTCTGTTCTATAGCTATTATGAATGTACAGGAATGTTAAAAGGAACTTATTTGTACAATGCCACTCAGTACAAGGTATGTACCCCAGGAAATGACCAACCTAATATATGTTATCACCCATCTAAGCTCCCTGCAACCACCGTTTTATTTTATTTTTATTTTTTATTATTATTACTTTTTGAGATGGAGTCTCACTCTGTCACCCAGGCTGGAGTGCAGTGGTGCGATCTCAGCTCACTATAACCTCCGCCTCCCGGGTTCACCCATTCTCCTGCCTCAGCCTGCCGAGTAGCTGGGACTACAGGCACCCGCCACCACGCCTGGCTAATTTTTTTGTATTTTTAGTAGAGACAGGGTTTCATCGTGTTAGCCAGGATGGTCTTGATCTCCTGACCTCGTGATCCGCCCGCCTCAGCCTCCCAAAGTGCTGGGATTACAGGCATGAGCCACTGTGCCTGGCTACCACCAGTTTTCAAATAACATTAAGAACTGGTCTTTTCCTAGGTGATTCAAGTAAACTAATAACTAGAACAGAAGAAAAAGAATCCCCAAACAAGAAACTTTAAATCTGATGCTTGTGCAGCCATTAATAGTAACAAGCTAAGATTAAGATGTGGATCTCTTAACTAAGAAAGGAGCTACACAGTAGAAAATAAATATGTTTGTCATGAGGCAGAGGTGTGTGAAAATTGTGCCTATTGGCCATGTGTTATTTAGGCTACTTAGAAAAAGGACAAAAAAGACCCGGTTCACCTTCAAAAAAAAAGAAGCCAACCCCTCCTGTGCTACCGGTCACTGGAACCCACTAGAACTAATAAGCACTAATCTCCTACACTCCCATTAGAGAAAAAGAGAACGTGTAACCCTGAGGATCAACAGGACAAGGCTAAACCCCCAAGTTGCCATTTTAGTCCGAGGGGAGGTCCACATGCGCTCTCCCAACCCAGTGTTTCAAGCTCCTTATAATGAGCTAAATCTGCCAGCACCAGAGCTTCCAAAAAAAAAAGGCAAGGAACTTGTTTCTGTACTTAGCAGAAAATGTAGCTCATTCCCTCACTGTTACTTCTTGTTATGTATGTGGAGGAACCACTGTCGGAGACCGATGGCCTTAGGAAGCCCGAGAGTTGGTGCCCACGGATCCAGTTCCTGACACAATTCCAGTTCAGAAAGCCCAAACTAGCAACTTCTAGGTCCTATAAACCTCAATTATTAGACAGTACTACGTAGCTAAGGAAAGAAAAAACTTCACCACCCCTGTAAGAAAGCTCAATTATCTAGGACAGAAGTTGTACAACAGCACAACAAGGACAGTCACTTGGTGAGGCCTTAACCGTACTGAAAAGGACCCATTAAGTACATTTTCTAAATTACAGACTGCCTGTGCTCATCCAGAATTTCACTGAGACTGGACGGCCCCCGCTGGACCATACTGGATACGTAGGCACAGAGACCATCTCCAATAACAAAGAAGAAAAGGAAACACCTGGGTCCTGGCTCTGGGAATCTAAGGCCAATTACCGTAAACTTTGCAAAACTAGACCAAAGGTAAAAACCCCATCTCCCCACCCGGAGTAACAAAGGAACAAAGGCTACTCTCCTGTAGCCCTCCCATTTCCACCACGTCTCAGATGGAAAGCGAGAGAGCCCAGGAGTGGCCACGGCCAAGCACCGGCCACCCCTCCATCTGCATAGGGCACCCATCTGCTCTGGCCTCAGGCCAATTCACCTCAGCATTTCATCGGCCAAGGGCCAGATCCTTCATCCAGATAAGGGGTAGCCCATAGGGACCTCAAAAGAAATATTTTAATCCCCCAAAACGTTGTAAACGGTGCCCTGGAGACGCTCGCTCGGGCTCACTCCCACCGTGTGGAGTGCTTTCCTGACCCCCGGCACTGGGGCTGCAGAGCTGCGCTCCAGGGGCCGAGGAGAGCGAGACTAGGGGGCGCTCTGGAGCAGGGCGAGAATCCAGCTCGCGGGTGAGGACTTGAAACAGCGCGAGGCGGGAGAAGGGTCAGGAAAGATTTTTGCAAAGGAAACTTTTGCGACAGGAGGTGTCTGCACAGCCCCATTGCAGAAAGACCGGGGACGGGACCAGTCTCAGGGTGACTTTAAACTCAAAGGAAAGCGACTCACGGACTCTCACCGGGACGTCTCAATTTGCTCTGGGTTGAGAAAGACGGGCCGGAATTTGCAGGTCTGTAGGGACCCCACGTCCCTCCTATAGCAGCACCAGAGAACCGGGAAGCACACACACCGCAGTACAACTTTCAGTCCTCGCTGTCCGCTTCCGGGCCTGAGCCAATCAGCGCAGGACAGGAGCCTGACCTGGGCAAGACCCCCAAGAGATGGGCGGGGCCTGGGCGAGGCCGGGGCGGGGCGCGAAAGACAAGGGGCCTGGCGCGGGAGAATAGAGTCTTGGGCTGTGAGGGGTCAGCGGGGGCGGGAAAGGGGCGGGGCCTGAGCTTCCCTCCATCTCACTCTCCGTGCCTCTGTCTTCCGGGTTTTGCAGGTGAAACCCACCAGTAAGGCTGGAGCAGCTCAGCAGTCAGGGAAATAGTACGTCCCTGAGAAGTGGCGGTGTGGCGGTAATTGGATCCAGGAAAGTTCCTTGTTATTGAAATTAATTTTAGCAATTTAATTCCAAAGCCTCGAAGCTGTCTAGGGCAGGAATGCAAACTAGAATGCGAAATGCAAAGCCTTGCCTGAGCGAAACGTACAATTTCATGCTGACGGCCCACAGAACGGAATAGAAATCCTCTCCCTTTCTATTCTCCATTCACTGGAGTGGGAGAGTCCACCCTGTGCTCAGCTCCAGAGACTTCCCTAGGGCCACCGCCTGGGGTGCCGACCGGAGGGCTCAGGCCAGGGAAGAGGGAGGTCACTACCTGTTGCTTAAACATAGCAGAGATGTGAGTGCGGGAATGGGAGCTTGAGGTCCCAACTACTCAGGAAGCAGCAGCGGAAAGATGGCTGAGCTTGGGGGTCTCAGGTATTTCTCCTCACAGGAAGGTATTAGCTCCGGGGGCCGGGGAGGGGGGTGGTGGCCGTGAGCGGGGGTGGGGTGGCGGGAAGCGGGGGGCGGTGGGAGCTGCGCGCAGACCCTGAGCCAAACGATGAATGAATAGTATCTACACTGACACACAGACTTTCATGTCTTTGCAATGTCCCTGTGTGGAACACTTCTGTATGTTGACAAGACCTCCTTCATCATGCATTTGGAAGAGATATCTACAAAATATAAACACCAATAGGTTTCAAATTAAGTACAGATGATAAATATACTGAAATATGTAAATATGACACAAAAAATACTTATTTTAAACTTCCCAAACGTGATCTTCAAAGTTTAGGAACACAAAAGGAGTAAGATTCTATAATAAATAAAGGGCGATTACATGTCCTTCAAATCATTTCTATGGAAGCCTATTTTCAATATCATGAAAAAACACTGACAGGGCACAAACGTGTAAGCCTAAAGTCAGGAGTGTTTTCCACTGTGACCCTAAAGCGCATCACAGTTTGCAAAAAAAATAAAAAATAACTGTCACATCAATGAAGCAAACAATATATACTCTTCATATTTACAGCATATTTACTCTATACAAATAAATGCTAAAGTACCACAAAATATACTATTTTGGCAAATAATCAACAGCAACCTCATGTAAGGATAATCAAAATCAATGGAAATTCTGTATTGTCAAACAATCATAGCACTGACAAGATAAGAAAAGATTACAAAAATTAGCCAGGCATGGAAGCCCGCGACAGAGGTCCCAGCTACTCAGAAGGTGGAGGCACAAGAATCACTTCCACCTGGGAGGCAGAGGCTGCAGTTAGCTGAGGTCACACCACTGCACTTCAGTCCGGACGGCAAAAATGAGGCTCCGTCTCAAAAAAAAAA